AAATAAAAGTTAGTCTTATTTACCAAAATTGACCATATTGACTGGTCAATAACCCATCCCTACCTGGGCAGCATATATATTCCACATAAAATCATTTCTGTGGTTTGAGGGATGGGCTCATGTATATATGATGTATCTGGCTTAAGTATATGATTTTTATAAAGGAATTTTATTTACTGTGCATACATGTTCAGTGTGTATGGTTTCATAATCACTAGAAATATATATCCCATATGCATGGGGTATAGTATACAATTTATATGGTATGGTCATACCCACATATGATGATATTCCAGGGATGTCCAAAGGTCTTTATGGAATATTTTAAGGACATCTTCAGTAGGATGGTTTCTGATATCTTGAAAGGGATGTCTTCAGGACTTCGTAGAGATATCTTTCAGACATTTTCAGTCAAAGAACACCACATGGAGCAGCCATTTAAAAATAAAGGGTTGTCCTGTATGGCAGGAAATAAGTCTATTTCAGAAAGAAAGGCACCCAGATATTTTGATATCACTGATAAGTTCCTAGTAGTCATCTCTGGGACTACTAAACTTGTCCCATGGAGATATCTTTGGGATATACTTGTGATGTGTTAGAAGTGAATTTTTTTTTTTTTTACTTCAAGGGGTTAAGAGTGTTATGGTAACAAATAGTCAACTCTGCATATTGGAATACTCATGGGGCCAGTGAACTTGATTCTATATTCCTGAGTATTTCAATAAATGAAATATCATACTGCTATATCATACTGTAAATCAGGACCATGCAACGGTATTCCATTAAGTGGCATTCTATTATGCCGAGTTGACTATATCCTGATGACATTGAAGCTTCTTCCTGCCTGTAGTAGGAATAATCCTTCTTGCTCCCCATTTGATCCTCTCATTGCCATCACTCATGCATGCTTCATTTTTGGTTTAATTCCAAAATTGCCTAAGCCCCATAAAGGTCTAGATGGACCATGTTGATAGCTAGTAACATGCCTAGAAAATTAACAACAAAAAAAAAAACTCCTCAAATACCTTTTCCGATCGAAGCCAGGTGTTATATATCTGCGTCAGGGGGCTCGCAAGTTGACTTGCACAGTTTCGTAGTAGCCATGATGGTATTCCATTTGGTCCACAGGATAGATTGTTTTTCAGTTTCTTCATAAGCCCTATGACATCGAGCTGAGAGAGAAGTGGAGCATTGCTCTCTTCGATGAAAGGAGGTAGTATAGGATCATTACCAGCTTTCTCGAAGCGAAGGAAGAATTTATTGAGTTCATCAACCTTGAAGTCAGCAGGTGTTATTTTTTGTGTAGTGCGGGACAACCTAGAGAGTCTCTTTACATTATCCCAATATTCCTTAGATCTCTTTCTCAATTGCAACTGTGTGAGGAGCTTGGCATTCAAACGCTTTGTTTCTTTGAGAACCTTGTTATTCCAGAGATGGAACAGGACATTGTCACCTCATACAAGATATTGCAAGGGGCAAAAGTAATCATCTTAGTTCTTTGCTGATTCAGTATCACAGCTATAAGTGAAAAGCCAATGCCAAGTAGGACTCTAGGAGATGACCAGGAATGAGAATGAGAGAAAAAATAAGGAAGGTTGTCATCAAGGATGACAAGCCAGAAAATTAAAGCAAAAGGAAAAATGTTGAGTCACAATGCCAGGGCTATTAAAGAGAGTTTAGGCAGGAGTGAGGACTAGAGAACTACACCTACCTAAGCTTCCAATCTGCAAACCAGAATGTACCAGATCAGTGCATTGAGTTACAATGATTACTTATTTTTTTATTGCCTTAACATTGGTTCTTCCAATGCAATGTTCTCAAGATGAGCTCAAACAACCCTGTTAGGGGGCTGGTGTTTTGATTCTACGAGCATCTACCAAACACTAGTTGACATTAAATTTAAGACTAATGGAAATGTTAGTTCTGCTGGTGCCAGTAAGCTAGCAATGGTACCAGTAATATATATATGGGTACCTGTAAGTTCAATGTTTGCTGCTGTACCAATATATGTCTAGGTTAACTTGCACCTTATCACAGCTTTGGAATTAAGAAAAATTATATTCATAGTTAGCAAGAAATATCAGCATTACATTCTAAATCCTTGGCTTGCATAGATTCTGGATGATGCTAACTACACCAGAAATCTAATTTATCCATGATCGAATGATTTTTTTAACTTTTGGCGCCTCGGGATGAGGTGTAAACTTCAGGTAGAGAGGTCAAGAGCCAGCTTTATGCCCATTATTACATCCTGTTTCAAAGTTGGGAGTTCATATAAAAGATGGTAGCCTACTACTCTTTAAGATAATGTTTTATGGGAGCATATCCACCTGCCTTATTAGTTACAGCCACATTGTTCCATTGGCTTCGTCCATGAAGTCACCTGACTGAGTCACAGAAAGGGCAGCCTGTCCAACACCACACATCCACTACCCTACAGTAAAGATGTCATTCAGCAACAAAATCCCACTTGAAGTTGCCATCCAACTTGCATGCCCTATTGATTTCTTAATATCTATAGGCCGAGGCCTAGCCTTACACTATTGAAATTTAATTCGTAACCTCCAAACCTTGACACCGGAGCCCTCCCAGGGAGCGCTTCCATCGTTCGAAGGCAGTGACACCTTGCGGATGAAGGCAGTTTATAGAGACTTTCACGGTTGTCGGAATCGACACCGTCTCTCGATGTGTAGACTGCTTAAGTCTAATCAAGTTCAATAAGGTAATCAAGTTCTGATGAGGCGACGAATACACTTATTTGAGGGAGAAACATTCCCAAAATACCAACGCCGGCTGACACCAAATCTAAAAAGCCGCTATACAGCACAGCCAGATCAAGGTGACTACTATTATCATAGGCAGGGCTGGCTCTAGCTTTTTGGCGCCCTGTGAAAAAAGGCTCCCAGCACCGCCTCCCCCCCAAGGCAGTGGCGTAGCGAGATGGGGGCTGGGGGGGCTTCAGCCCCCCAAGTTTGGTTCAAGCCCCCCCAACTCTGGTCGAAATGCGTCCGCCCCAACCTGACAAGGCGAAGTTAGCCCCCCCAACGTTAGGAGTCAGGAGAGTTAGTGATATCAAGAGGCGATTTCGCCCATTTCGATATCACGTGTCGAGGTCGAGCGTTCCTTAATTTTAGGGTAGGCCTAACCCTCTTAAAGCTAAATATTTTTGTATTTTTGGTTTTTATTTTTTATTTTTTTTTACTATCCTAGTTGCTTACTGTCTAGTACCTACGTCAAAATTGCCCCCCACCTTTTTGCCTGTCCATGAAAGCATCTAGTTTCTTCTTAAAGATAGTCACAGAAGGGGCAGCCACTACTTCGTCATCTAACGCATTCCACGCGTTCACCACTCTGCAAGTAAAGAATTCCTGTCTCGACCTGAGCCGCACCTGC